GGGGTGGAGGAGGTTAGGAGCCGCAAACTGAAAGCTGCACAAAGATAATCGGCTGTCGCAGGAAAAGGTAGTTTGCCCGAGTACACTGGAGCACCTGTCACCATCCAGGCACTAACCATTAAGTTCTTCTCGGTCCTCAATTCCCCGGGTGCGATATCGGTGCCATCTTGGCTTCTCCTGGGCTGAAGGTTCAGTCCCCGCTGTCGATGAAACGATGAAACGGTGCGCCTCCGCAGACTCTGAGCTGCGCCCTGCGGTAATCCCCGGTAGGGACAAGAAGTGCAACGCCTCTTGAGAAAAGTCCAAGTACTCCAAAATTTTAGCAATGACTCCACCACCTCAGAGTGCAAGTGTAGACCGCAGCCCAGTGCTTAGTGCATCCAAGAATGTTAATGTTTACACTGCATGGGCTCTGGCCGCGACAGTGGCTCTGCTGTGCTCCACCTCGGGGCTTCTGGTTACAAGTACTCTACACAAGCTTAAGTGTTCCCTGTGTTGGGCTCCTGCTGTGGGCCTGGGCAAGTTTCCACCTTTTCCCTGCCTCCTCCTTCTTCCACATTTTCTCCCATTTTCTAGAAATAAAATCGTAATCTTGTGCTCAGAAATAAATAAAACTTTATTGTTAAATAAAAGAGGCAGGCCAAAATGAGGACTTTATGGTTCTCCCTTCAAGATGTGTTTTGCAGACGCTCCAGAAGATGTTAATATCCTGAGCATTGGAAATAGCTTCCAATAATAGGCCCTATGCTTGGTATCGTACTATGATATTGATCTATCCTATTTTTCCCTTTGCAACTATCATTATCTTCAGCACCATTTTATGAAAGAAATTTTCATGGGCCACTAAGGGTGTCTGTCATGGGGCTTAGGTACCTTACCTACTGTATCTAATGGATAAGTGCCCCTGCCTCATATTTCTGCAAGATGGCTAAGAAATCAGCTAAAAAAAAAAAAAAAAAAAAACAGATGATTAAACAATTCACTTTCAAAAAGATGTCAAGGGATGGCAATCTCACAGCTGCTCTCTGACTTCAACCAAAATGTTGCCTCCTCCATCTGACTTTTGTTGGAGTCTGCACCCCTCTCCTTCTCTTGCCTAATCAGTTCATGATCAATTTTCAGCCTTGAATCAAATGCTGCATGAGAGACATGTAAGAGTTTTAATCATGGGGTGCAGTAGACTAGCTGGGACATCTGTGACAGCTCGACGTTCTTCCACATCTCAGATTTCCACAGTGTACCCCAGTGTTTTCTCACTTTCAGTCACTCATAGGCACCTTAGGTGAGTGTTGTTGCCCTATGTGGGCACCAGAAAAGCTAGTGTTTACTTAAATGTTTTATTTTAAATATAATTTAGTTTTTAATTTTTGATTCACTCTTGAAAACCTTAGGTACCCAATGGAACCCTCGTCCTAAGCAAAAATAGCCACAAATCATGGCCTGATGTAACAGATTTATGTGAGCAGCGACCCTAGAACCAGACTGGATATCTGAATCATGGCTTCACTCACCACCTGCTAGCTGGCTAATCTGGTGAGCAGTTTATTCTCATTTTGCCTTGGTTTAATAATTTTTTAAATGGAGATAACAGTCATCCCTAAATCATAGAGGTGTTTTGAGGATTAATTGAGGTGCTTAATTATACAATTTCACAAATGACCAGACCATGTAGCCTCACATTTCCTACTTGACTCACTCTCATATTTTTTTATTCACAAGGGAAAGAGAGAGAGTGATTGTTATCCTCCGGGAGCATGTAATGAAGATAGAGCATCTTCTTGTGAAAACAATACATGTACCACGTTTCTATGTACGTATATGTGCTTCCGTCAGTAAGCCTATGTTGGCTGCTGCATGTATGAGCCCTGGGCCAGGAAATGTGCCAGAAGACTGTGTCTTTCACTCAGCAGATCGATTTTCTTTCTTGGCCTAATATATTTTATTCTTAGATACCAGATAATGTAATAAACATTACCATGTATTAAGTACCTACTCTGGACCCAACCCAAGAACAAGCCTTATGAAAGTGATATAAGCAGGGGCACGATGGTGTAATTCACATTTTCATCATCAGATCACTCTGGCTGCTGGGTGGAGAATGTTTATAGGAGAAAAAAGGTGAAAGCAGGGAGACAGGACATTAATGCATTATCCCAGGTTTAAGACGACAGTGATTATCTTCGGCATGTCAGAGAAAAAAATTAACGGTTTGGGAATGGGTTTCTGAGGTGGGGTCAACAGGATTTGCTGATAAATTGACTATTTGGAGTTGAAGAAAAAGAATAAAACAGTCTATATGTAACCAAGTACCTCTTTTTTAAAGACTCAAATGAATTATTTTTTCCTTTTTCCTTTCCTCACACCTCCTACTTAGCTCTTTGGGAATGCCATTATAACCTTTACCTTCTCTCCACCAGACACTCCCTACACAGCAAGCTTATCTAACTACATGTTTACTTAGAAGTTACAGAGACTGAACCTTAAAGCAAACCAGGAACCTCCAGAACTCTCTCCTACCAGGAGGCAAATTGAGATTGTCTCAATTTACAACCTAGCTCTGCCCATGACGGTGCCAGCCAGACCACCTGATAGATAAGACATCCGAAGCAAGTCACACAGACTCCGCACTCCATCGCCCTCTCCCCTGTATGTCGTTCATGCCAAGCCCCCCTTTCAAAGCTCCTGCCTTCTGCCCCAAAGGCTGTAGTGGCTTCCTTAAGGCAGCCTGTACTAATTCCCCTCAGCTAGCTCTGGAATAAAGCCACTTTCTTTTACCAGACGTCATTCTTGTTCATTGGACTTTGCAATTGGCGAGCAGTCAGAGCTGTGTTCAGTTACACGTATGCTTTGCCTCATTGAACTCTCATGAAAACCCGATGATCAAGACACTGTTGTTATCTCCATTTTATAGGTGAAGAAGCTAAGAACCAGATAGATTCATCCAGTGTCCCAGGACACACAGTGAGTCATGCTTCAGATCTGTGCTCCTAGCTGATGCCTCCCATTACTGGTAGTCCTTTCCTGCTCCCTACAATGTACATTTCTTCATTTCTTTTTCAATTTTCTTATTATCTATTTTTCTTCTTCTTCCTCTCTCTTTTTCACTAGGGATAGAATGCAAGGATCTCACTTAGCCCAGTGGATGGCAGTCAATTAATGGGGCAAGTGGCTTAGTCCTGCCATACTGGTTCCCTGCATGCTGCCAAGTGCAAGGGCCTTTCCATGCTCAGAATCACCATGAAGACCAGAGCTCTCTCTCTTGGTAGGCTACAGACTCAACGGGTCTGAATCTTTATATATGCTGCCAAAAAACCCTCAAATAACCAATATTTGTAAATAGATACAGAAAGTTTTTAAAAGAACATTTTAAAATAATAAAAATTTTAAAAATATTTTTAAAAAACAAAATAAAGTATATACCATCACTTAACAGCACACACACAATCTCTAGAAAAATTAAGGATTCATGAGTTGTCCACCCTCAGAAAACGTCTCCATGCCCTTCCTCGTGACAGACTCTCTAGCATTTTCCTTTCTTTCATTTTCATTTTATTTCTTATTTTATTATTTATTTTAGAGAAAAGGGGCCTCTATCTGTTGCCCAGGCTGGAGTGCCACCACATGATTCTAGCTTACCGCAGCCTCAAACTCCTGGGTTCAAGTGATCCAACCATCTCAGCCTCCTGAATAGCTGGGACTAGTGTAGGAGCCACTGCACCAGGCTCTTCAGGGTTTTTCTTCGTGATTGGGCTTATTGGGGTGGGGTGGCCAAAACACAGGGGCAGTAGTAGGGAGGCTGTGTAGTTATGAGGCTCTGCGGAGCAGAAGTGGCTCCACATCCAGTAAGCTGCACATCCATAGATCCCAAATCTCCATCCCAAGAGTGGAGATTTTTGGCAGGTATGCCCTTACTAGGATTCTTCCTATACCATCCCCGATTTTTATGTATTTATTTATTTATTTATTGCTTGTCCTAATAGCACTCCATTTTGCCATGAGTACAGGTTTCTCTTGCACAGCCAAAGATATTCAGTCTCAGGCTAACAGATTCAGCCTCGTGTTTATTCTGTGTTGCCTTTCTCAAAGGGTGCATCGGATTTCTTACAGAGCACATCTTACCACCCAGAATGCTCTGCATGCCTATCTCCCGGATCCCAATCCCAGCACTGAAGAGAGCGTGGCAGCTCTGCTTTCAGTGCCTTTGCTGGAACTCTGAACAAGCAGCCCCCTAGCCAATCGTTTCAGCTTAATTACTAGCCCGTGCCCCGTGTAGGCTGCCAAATATGGAGGGTCAGGCCATGAGATATTCTCCAAACTTGCTCAAGCAGTCCTATGGTCACTGTGAGATCTCACCTCCCCCTTGAGCCCCCAAATCAGCTTTCCTCGGGGTAATAACTAGGCCCGAGTAGGGTGTAGTCAGCTAAGCTGCAAGCTGGGGCCCCATGTTGCATACATATATGCCTCCTGTTGGCCCTTCTCCACACTGCCCCTATGTTTTGGCCACCCCATTCCACCCTCAACCGCCACCCCCACCCACGACCCATACCACACTCCTCACCCCACCC